GGCCTACAGAATACCAAGATATGGCTGCCCAAACCATGATTGTGCCACCACTATACTTTACCGTTGGCACAACACTGCCCTGGTAGTAAGCGTGGGATGGTGTTCGCCACACGTAAACACATCCGGTGGTTGGGGACAGTATGAAGCTCAATTCATCGGAGCATATTACAGTCTTCCATTGATGGATCATCCACGATTCATGGGTGTTGCACTACTCTCTTCTCTTCTGAGCATTAATATCAGTCACTAGTGGTTTGTCAATTGCATCTCGCGTGTAAATGTTTTGCATATGATGTTCCCTCTGCACAGTTTTTGCAGAAACAGCTTTGGAAGACCGAGATTGAGCTCTGCAGCCACTTTTGCAGCAGTTGCTTTCTTATTCTGGGTCACAATCCTGCACAATGTCTTTGTCTCATTCAGTCAGTTGACCATGTCGACCACGCTTATGCTCATCAGACAATATATTCCCAGAAACTGTATATGCTGTCATAATCTTTGATACTGTACCTCGCGACACGGCAATTAAATTGGCAACTTCAGTCACCGAGGCATCAGCTAAGCGAGCACCAACAATTTGCTATCTTTGAAACTCTGTAAGCTCTGACATGATGCCATATTACTAGCAGTGCACGCAGTGAATGACAAAAGTGAGGATTCCCACCTGTTAGCTAGGTATGTCATCACACAGCAGAATCAAAAAGAATGTTGCATCATTTCAGTGTGAAACATGTCATCACTTTCACACCAGAATATCACATAGTGTTTCCATATTTTTGTCTAACCTATGTAATTCCTTTACCAGAATGATCGGCCCAATCACCCTTGCGTGGATCACTGCAATCCTCGAGGGCCCATTGATACTATTATACTGTATTAGCACGTGAACTTAAAAAGATCAAATGTAAGTGTTATCACATCAAAAAAGTGCATGTAGCATTTTGGCAGCACAACACGCGTTAATGTATGGCTGCACACAAAACCATGGACAAGATACAGTGGAGTGCCACCCGTTACAACAGTGCAATAGTGTAAACAGGCCCTAAAGGGAATTTTTCAGGTTAAAATCCAGGAGCTGCCAGCGTAGAAAGGCTTTTGAAGGGGCAAGTTGTGGTGTGATCATCCTCATCTTTGCTTTACTACATAGCATCTTATTGATCCAAACCATGCAGTTGAATATGAACTGCACTGACACTCCATATACACAGGTTTGTTCCAAGTCATTGAATTACCAACAGGAAAAGTTGCATCTTCAAAAATTAACTTAGCAATGGGGGCTCCCCTATTTCTATATGGTCAGTTTTCGTAGGCAAAATATGACTAATCAGACTTATTCGTGCTAAGACATCTCATGGTGGATAAATTCAGATATTGTAGGAAAAACTCTAGTTTAAGATGGATTTCCTGCTGTTCTACAGTAACACTGCATATGCATTCTGTCACTAGCTTGTCTGTGGAGGTGTGCGGGCTCAGCAGGGGTAAAGCTGGCAGATATCTCACTGAACACAAAAGCATGGAGACACAGGGTCAACCTCAGTAAACTCAGGAACAACCTCTATATTGTATAAGTCACATAATGAGGACAATGCAACACATATTCTGTCATTTCTTTCCTACAAGTAGGAAGCACTAATCATGTATCTAAGAGAGTTTCCAACATGATGGAAAATTTTCGGCAGGGAAAGCAACCAATCTTGACTTTGAAAGAGCCTGTCATCATGATCACCCCACTATCAGGTGCACAGAATGTCACACCTGGCAGTCAGATTCAAGCATATCAAGCTAATCTAAGGGATAAGTAAAATGGGCAATTTTAACCCTGGATGATAAATGATTTTACCTACTGCAATCAATCAGCTCATTTACACACTGTGCTAAGGTCGAACCTCAGCAAAAAGTCCCTGAACATAAGGCTTTAATCACAAAAATGTATGCATTGCAACTTTGTTCCTTGCTATTGGGAGGTTTATCAATTAGTAATAAAAGAATCATTCACTCTTGCAGTTTAATCCTTAGGCCAGATTCACACTTGGTGTTGCGTTAACCCAGTGCATTTTCATCTATTAAGACAGCCCCATTCATTTTGAATGGGCTGGTAACACTTTGACAGAAAAAAACACAAAAACAAAAAATCTGCATATTTTTTTTTTATGCATCACACCACATAAGGATGATTCACATATGTGCTTTGTGGTAATCAAAAACAGCTGTGCATTGAGGTGCGCTATCAAGGTGTAAGGGATGACAATTCAAAATAGAATGGAACTGCAATGAAGGGATCATGCGATGCGGTAAAGCAAGTTTTACTGCATATCAGTGCAACACACAGGTCTGAATGGGGCCAAAGGCTATGTTCACACAGGAGCTGGATGTAAAATGAATCCAGGCTTGTATTAGTAAGAAGATGCTCCAACCAACTAAAGAATCACTAGGCTGCTCCAGATTTTGCAGCTATCTTCACACCTCAGGAAAGTAGACCTCGTTGTCATAGTATCCATATAAACTCCATATAAAACTAGTTTAGATTCAAAGTTAGTTTCCAAAAACGTATAGACAACCAAGAAAAACAAAATGAACCTTACCCACCAAAGGAACAGATAACCTAAAGTTGTAATTGTAACCACTTCTGTAGACAAAGATTAAAAAATATATTGTTCCAGGCTAAAAACATACAAAGTTTACAAAGCTAAAAATTCCTCATTTAGTTGGAAAGGACTAAAGTCTGAGAATCAGAAAATTTAGGATAAAAAAAGCAGAATTGCACTGGTACCCTACTGCTCCTTTACCAAAACAAAGTGCAAATTATTTCTAGAAAATTGGATCCAAAAACAGATGAAAAATTTGCCATCTTGGACCAAAAAAAACTCATTTTGTTAGCAGAGACAAACTGCTACATATCAGACCGCTTTTTTCAGTTAGATTTTCATAATGCAACTCTAATGTCAAAACTTGGGATGAACATACTGCAACCATATAAAGCAAATACGTATCACTCATACATGTGCAAACACATGAACTTTGTATAGAGAGTCTATTCAACTTAAATTTGCAACTTTTTGGTGCATACTGAGGGTTCATTCATTAGCTGGTTTGTGATTACTCTTAAAAGATTTTTCCTGCTCCACTCTTCCTCAACATCAGGAAGCCACATTCAGCAGCTTTATACTGACCAGTGTATAACTGGATCTCTATGCTCTAGTCATGATCTCTGGGAGGAGACTGCACCACTCGGCCATGAGTTGGAAGAGCATGAACCTACAGGTGTGAACCCAAAACTCAGAATGCTTTTTAAAGTGACTTGTCCATCAAAGGGAAGTTGTTATAATGGCCGTTACCCATTACAGCTACATTTTGCAGCCAGTAAGGGATGGGGGGGGGGGGGGGGGCTGCCTGGCCACCTAACATTGTGCTAGTCTCAAGGCAGGCATTGTTACCACTGTGCATGTGTACATATGAACACAGCCCTAGAGCTAGTACTACTTCCAAAAGGTAATGGTAGCCTTCATCATCGAAAACTATTAGGTACTGGGTGGAAGATATTAAAATGTCTGGTGTGTGCACATACATAACTAGACACATTACAGGGTCTAGTTTCACTGTAAAAGACAGAAAAGGTTTATTCAAATTCCTGCTATTGGACACAACTGAATATTGGTGTTCTCTATATAAAAATCACAAAAGCAGAACCCTAGCCAAACAGTTTCATGCCAATAACCTTTTTAATTCAGTTGCAATTCTGCCTCTGCCAAATTATCTAGGCAGGAGGGTGACATTTATTCACTTACTTTCAGCCTGATTTCTGGTGTATACACAATTGTGGGACATTACTATAATAGTAATCTGAGATATTTATATTAGCATTAGTATTGAAAAATACACTTAAGTTTGGATGAGTACACACCCAGGCTAAACTTTCATATTTGTCTTAAGTTCCGCTTTAAGCAAAAGCCTTTGGACATACGAAAAGGTTTGATTGATCACAGATCACACTCTTGGAACAGTCTGTGCACTGTATCCTTTCCAAAAAGATTTACTGGCTATCTGATACAATACTCAGATATAGTGCAAACTAATGGGTAATACATTTGATTGTACAGGAGAAAAAAGTGTTAAAATCGTGCTTATAATAAACATGAGCACCCATCGCCTATATTACAGTGAACAAAGCCATTCTGTATATAAAAACAATATTTTACCTTCACTGGGAACTCATGATACTGGAATAATGAGACATATAGCGCCCCATATTGCTCATGGCCTACAACTTCATACACATTGGTTTGGCCAACCAGCGCCTATTTGCAAGGTGTGCAAAAGGACACGTACACTTTAGGTCAGAAGAAAGTGGCTAGCACTAAGGCACTACTGCATTATACCTCATTGTCGTATAGTTATTTATAATATAGTATTAGTTCTTAATCTAAATTGGCAGAAGTTCACATACAAATTTAAAATAAAAAAAATCAGCAAGTGTTGAGGTCAGTGGTTTTAGATTGTATAGTAAGGTAATCCTTTCAAGGTCAATGTTATCACTGGGTGTTTGAGGTTTTTTTTTTTTTTTTTTTTGCAATACAAAAATATGTTTGTAAATTGGTTGCTTCTTGGGTAGTTTCCATAAACGGTTTCTTGAAGGGCTAAAAGAGAAGGTAGAAAAAAGATAAGGCAATGGCACGTCACCATTAATAACGTAGATATGCAGTTCTTCAACCTAAGTTATTTCACAGAGAATTGTGTGTGCTTATCTACAAAGTAAATTACTGGCTTGGTTTAAAGCAGTGTCTCTTTAGATTTCTCTTCAAACCTTCTTCAAAAAAAGTTAGTACATCTACTTAATCCGACATTCAAATATCAAAAGATCCATTAAGTGATTACAACAGCTCGGATCCAAAGGAGAGAAAATGAGCCTTAAACAAAACAATTTGTTCTCAGTTGCTTCCCGAACAAGTTCCTTCTGTTTGTCTACGAAATGAACGAAGTAGCCTGCACCCGATGGGCAGTCTGGATCACAGCTTGTCGGAACGGAAACTGTCCTCTATTGTGGGGTCTGGTAGGATCATGTCAGGGTCACTTAACATGTTCAGACCATCCAAACTCAGAGGTCCAAGTTTCAGCTCGTCATCCAACTGAAATGTATTATCTGTGTCGAAGCCCAGCTCGGAAACTCCTGCTACCGCACTTCCAATGTCCTTCGATAAACTGTTGCTTGTATCGTCTGAAAAACAGAATCAAGGAGAATATGAATCAAAAAGAACTATGTCAAAACAAGGTTTGCTAAATGCAGCCTTGACCTGTACATAAATGAGCAGCATTATGTATGAGTAGAACTGCTAAGCTTGGTTTGATTATAAATAGAAAAGTACCCAAAGAGATTTTAAATATTTTCCCTTGTCTCTGTGTATCTGCATAGATGAAAGCACATAACTGCCCTGCCGAAAGCAGCCAATGCACAGCAAGATTTTGGTTGGCGAGTTAGGAACAAAATTAATTCTTTAAAGCACAACTATACTCACCTTGGATCCACAGATGTGGCATCCCAGATTTCCCTCCCTGGTCGTTGACATCGTCGGGGCGGGCGGCTTCCAGGTCTCAGTCGCTGAACGATGTCATTGGCCAGGTGGGGATGACGCCATTGCCAAATTTGCACAGTGAGCTGTGCGTGTGCAGCTCACTGTACAAGGGCAGACAAGCAGGTACCTTTAATGCAGAAGTGGCAAAGCATGTCTCTTCTGCATTAAAATTCCTGCCTGTTCATCATTTTATTACTTTCTGACCTAAGGTTCTACTTTAATCATTTCAATTTCAAACACTTTCACCCCCTTCCTGCCCAGGCCAATTGTCAGCTTCAGTGCTGTCACACTTTGAATGACAATTGCTCTCGCTCCAGCAACACTACCCATATGACATTTCTTCAATATTTTAAGCCAAACTGTATTCTGCTACATTTCTTTGGCAAAAATAACCCAAATCAGTGTATATTATTTCGTTTGTAGGAAATTTATAGAGTCCACAAACTTTGGTGTATATATATCTGAAAATTGATCAATCCTGATGTACCGACGGCTCATCTAATTTCTGAGGCTCAAAAAGGCCAGGATAGTACAAATACCATCCAAATTACCCCTTTTTGGAAAGTAGACAGTCCAAGGTATTTAGTATGAGTCATGCCGCGTTTTTTGAAGTTGAAATTTTTTTGTCACAATTTTTTAGAAAGGAAATTAAAAAAAAAAATGGTTTACATTTTTTTTTACATATGGTCACTAGTGCAGTACAGCGTCATCATATAACTGGTGTGGCGGTGATCACAGACATTCTTTAAACATTTTTTCTTTTTTTATTACAGGTTTTTTTTTTTTTTTTTTTTTTACACACTATGATTGACTGTAATAAACAACCATTTCTTATGAATGAAATCCATTCACCCAGTTTGTACTTTTGTGATTAGCTGCGATTGGCCACAGCTATCAGATGGTACAATTCACAGCAACTGGCCCTGTCTGTACCATGTGATCACTGCGACTAATCACAGAAATCAACACAATAGTACATTTGATTTGTCACAGAAATCACATGGTAGCTGTAGCGGCAGTGGCTCAGTAGACTGATCATTCATCCATTGTGTCTGGTGGACCCACTAGGTGACAGATCACATTGAAACGTGGCCTGTGGGGCACACAAGGGCACGATTCTTGGATGTCATGCGATGTTCACCCAAGATAGCTGCGTTTCTGCTCTGCCATCATATTACAATGGGTTGGGCAGGAGGCAGATAAACAGCAAAGCCGGGCAGTACTATCATGTAGTTAAAGGTTCACTCACTGCCTGCTTAGTTATTCATTGAAATGCAGAAAGCAGCACCAGACCAAAAACTGCATGAAAGAGGCCAAATCATTTTCACTGCTGGTTTAAAAAAACAAAAACAAAAAAAACAAACATTCAACGAGTTTCAAGGGCAATATCACTCCCTATTTATCAAGGCTTAAAGTGTTACTAAATCCAGGACTCTGCATTCACTATATCTGGCCTCCCAGGACCCTGCGTTCACTATATCTGGTCTCCCCGGACCCTGCGTTCACTATATCTGGTCTCCCCGGACCCTGCGTTCACTATATCTGGTCTCCCCGGACCCTGCGTTCACTATATCTGGTCTCCCCGGACCCTGCGTTCACTATATCTGGTCTCCCCGGACCCTGCGTTCACTATATCTGGTCTCCCCGGACCCTGCGTTCACTATATCTGGTCTCCCCGGACCCTGCGTTCACTATATCTGGTCTCCCCGGACCCTGCGTTCACTATATCTGGTCTCCCCCGGACCCTGCGTTCACTATATCTGGTCTCCCCGGACCCTGCGTTCACTATATCTGGTCTCCCCGGACCCTGCGTTCACTATATCTGGTCACCCCGGACCCTGCATTTACTATATATGGTCTTCCCGGACCCTGCATTCACTATATCTGGTCTCCCACAGTATACAGAACATGGAAATGCAATTATTTTAGTAAATATAAACTGCTAAATACCTTTTCTCATTAGCAGTATATAGCAGTCTTGAGATTTCTATCAGCATCCAGCACAGCACTGGTTAAAGCTTATAGGAGTAGCTTTTCTTCTGCTCTGACTGCCCTACGAAGCTCCCAAAGAAAAAAAAAAAAAAAAACAAACAAACACTCTAGGAATACATACCAAATTGAGTATGTGCAGAGTGACTCATAGAGCTCTGTACAATCAGCAGATGGATAGGGGACAGTAGAAGACAGGGAAGATCAGAGAAGATGGGATCAAACAGTCTTGATTACACAATGAGGATTAACCCCATAGGTTCCACAGTGAGTATAACAAGTTTGTGTTACTGTATATAAAGACTGATTTTACTGGTGTGGGTTTAGTAACACTTTAATGCAGGATAAACCTTGGATGGACTCAGAAAAAAAGAGTGACTTCTCAAATCTATATTACAACCAGCACTAAACAACTTGGAGTAACAACTTGACAGCAGTTGCTGAGCAGCAATGGAGTCACTGAGTCCATCCACATTTTATCATGGGTGGAGCCCTGATGAGAGGTAGCGGTGTTGCCCCTGAAATGTGTTGATTGGTTGATATGACTTTTACCAAAAAGTAAAATTATCGTGGCACTACATTCTGCATTTCTATAGTTTGAGCTTCTGCTGGGTGCCTGCAGAAGGAAGCCTTGCTATTTGGGAGTCACCTCACCAGAGCTATTAAGCTTGTTTGAAGTGTTCCTTCATTCAGCTACAAGTGTATGTCCAAAAGTTCCCAGTGCCTCTGAGCATGTTATTCTGGTTTGCCTAATAGAACCCCACTGCCTGTGGGAGCTATTACCACTTCTGCCACCTTTCCTTCCCAAACAATATATTAAATTTTATATATATATATATATATATATATATATATATATATATATATATATATATATATATATATATATATATATATATATATAATTTAATTTTTTTTTTTTTAAAGTCACAGTCCTGAGAGAGACAGCTGAATGTGGCTAGTTCTAAAGAAAGCAGAGTGAAACAAAGTTGGATTTCAGAAGTACACACCGCAATGACCCTGTGAAGTGTACTCTGCAATTCTTGCTACAGTAGATTAACCACTTCCCGACCGGCCGTTGCATATAAACGGCCGGACGGTGGCAGTACAGGGTCGGGTGGCCGTTTATGAACGGCCTCCCCGCACCCTGCTTGTGCGCGCTCCCTGGGAGCGCACAGCACCGCGATCCGGTGCCCGCTGTGTCCTCCGGACACAGTGAAACACCGATCGTCGGACGGGACCTCTGTACGAGGTCCCGATCATGTGATCACTGATTGGCCAATCAGTGATCACATGCAAAGTAGTAAGCAAGATGTCACTTGTGACATCATTGCTTACTACGTGTGAAATCTGTGAATGATCACAGAAGTCACATGGTACAAGGCTATTCACAACAGCCTTGTACCATGTGACAAGCTGTGACCAATCACAGCTCACTCTGTATTTCTCAATGAGTGCAGGAATGCACACAGAGAGAAAGAGAAATGATTGATTTTACATCCTATATGGGTGTAAAAGCAATCATTGTAAAAAAAAAAAAAAAAAATCTTCATCACCCTCCACAAGTAGTACAGTGTCACCATGGTGACACTGTACTGCTAGGGTGACAGTATGTAAAAAAAAAAAAAATAAATAAAAAATAATATAAAAAAATAAAATAAAAATGTAAAAAAAATTTTTTTTAAATTATAATTTTTGGTTATAAACTAATTTTTTTTTTTTTTTACTAAAACGATAACGAAATACATTTTGGCAAAGATTTATGATGAAATATTATTTATTTGCAACATTTTATAAAAAAAAAACACTTTTGTTCAAAATTTTTGGACATTTTCATTTACATAGCAAAAAAAATAAAAATCCCAGCAGTGAATAAATACCACCAAAATAAAGCTTTATCTGTCGCAAAAAAAATGGTAAAAAATTAATTTGGGTACAGTGTTGCATTACTGCGCAATTGTCATTCAAAGTGTGATAGCGCTGAAAGCTGAAAATTGCCCTGGACAGGAAGGGGTAAAAGTGTCCGGTCTGGAAGTGGTTAAATAAAACTAAAATGAACGAAAGTGAACTTTCTGATGGCTGCATATTTTGCTGGCGCTCTCCAGAAAGACCCAGCCACCAAACTTTAAAAATTACAGAAAACAAAAAGTATCTTAAATGCTTTTTGAATCTTTTTTTTTTTTTTCCATTTCCACAAATGTTTTCTTCACTTGCAATGTGTCTCTGAATGTGACTACTCCAGGAGAGTCTATTCCCCAACACAGCTCCCTCCATCCTTACACGTCATAGACCTCTCCTCTTCTGAGAGTGTCTAATTACTCTCTGAGCGGGCCCAGCTCTTCTACCCCTCTCTTCACCTCCATGCATAATCTTTGATGTAGCTGCTAGGGGAGGAGAAAATGGGAATGCTGTCACTTGAGTGACAGCTCCGATCCTGCTGGGGCTGCTGACATCACATCCAAAATGGAGGGTTACAGGAGCAGTCTCAGATCTTTTGGAGGTCTTCAAAGAGAAGGCTTTTAAATGTAAATAAAATGTTTAAAATACATTAAAAACACATATCTTATGAGAAGATTTTGTTTGAAATTATGGGTTATCTACACAACTTTACCAAATGTGCTCACTCTACCACTCTCTACCTTTATTCTATGTTTAAACACAATCCTTTGCAGCCAGAATTGGTAAGTTTTTGTTGTGCTTTTGAACAGAGACGCAGCCCTATGTCTCAGGATTCGGTGCTTTTGATCCTCTCTCTCCTGCTCAGAGAGTTGGTGGAGCTGAAACCAAGAATCACATTGGCCTGAACTCTTTTATAGGTGGATTCTAGATCATTTCGAGAAAAAGGTTTAGCTATCAGAAACCATTACAAATGTCACATGCATTTAGTAGGTAGGATTTTTTGCCAACACATTTTAAAAACAAAATGTAAATGCTTGTCTGTATGGAACTTTTAAAACTGAATGACTTTCATATTATACAGGTTTATTAAACATCTGACCAATTTCCTTTGTGGCCAGCCTTAGGCCGGATCTGTTTTTCTCAGCAGGAGATCTGTCCACTGATCCCCTGCTGAGTTGAACAGAGTTGCCAGATGACAGGTCTGTGTCTACTCTGCTCTTGCAGAGCGGACACAGACACAGCCTGCTTTACTCTATGGGCAGTCTGATGTAAATGGGCCAACTGTCCATTTACATCCGGCTGCCCTCTGATCCCATCTGCCCAGATAAAGGAGAATAGATCCCCCTCCATTTGCTTTTTGCCAGGATTTGAGGTAAGTAGGTGTAATCAGAGGACCGTTTACATCAACCGGTCCATAGAGGAGAATCGAGGTCTGATCAGGTCCGTCTGAAAAACAGACAGGAAGGCCCGATTGGACTGTTTGTGTGAAAGGGGCCTTACAGTGCATTAAGTGTATAATTGACTTTGTGTATAATGTTGTGCACACACGTGACTAATCTACACTAGAGAAGGACAGATGTGAAAAAGTTTACATTTTATGTGGCCAGTAAGAATTCCAAGCTAAATGACTACACACACAAGCTTGCTAATGTTTCCACTCAAAATTATTAATGCAAATAAAATTTGTGTAAATTCAAATGATATCTGTTACAGTCTCATGTTGGTTTACCATTACGTTTTGCCCAACATCCTGTTTTTCTTGTCATTGAAGGATTCATCCACTATTCATGTAAACCAACATCCTGCTTCCTGTGATTGTAGTTTGGTGCTGGGTAAGCCAACTACAGCAACTCCCTAGTACCACTCAAAACCTTACTCATCAACACCTAGATGATTTTCTGGCACAGCAAACATTTCTTTACAAATTATATACACAAACAGTATTTACAATTATGCTTCACCTGGAAATATTTTATTGAGTTTATGTTAACCTTGTTTTGTACTTGTTCCACACATGCACAATGTACATGTTGTTCGTTATGTTTACCATAAACTTATATATGTCCATCCACAATCCCCCCCAGGCCCTTACTTCAGTGTCCATAAAACAACATCATTTCCACCTCTTTTTATTCTCTCTACTTCATTCCTACTTTCCTTAAATGGCACAATATCAGTTATGACATTGCTTTCTACTTTCATCATTTATTGTCTTCTCCTATTAAGGTACATGACAGATCTGAGGTCTTCTGGGAAGATCGAGTTGGGCTTTCAATTCATATTTATGGAGCTTGTAGATAACTGTGCACCGAAGTACAAAGAGTGGAAGGCTAAGCATTCTACTGGGGAACAAAGTCGCATTTTTTGGTATACAAGTCAAAAAATTGATAACCAAAATTTGACCTCAGATCCAATACTCACATCCCACTACAGTGATAAATCCATATTATAAAGCCTTAGAGCGCCACATCCCAAATGGGATAAAATCACCACAATGTGCAGTCTTATTATTAAAGCTGGCTTCTAGCCTTCATATTTGGAATCTAAGCACACTTTTGGCTTCACATAAAGGAACGTATCAAAGAGTTGGCAGCTGATTTACACCTAAGAATGTTACAGACATTAATGGTAGAGACAAACCATTTGCCACTGGCTGGTGCTTTAAATGATCCACTTTTATTTATGGAAAACCTTTATTCCAAAAGGAAAAAAAATCGGTTTGTTGTAACTTCTTATAAAAGTGTGAGCTGGAGTTTGACTTCATTTGTTAGTGTATTACTGTAATATCTGCTAGTATATCTAACACCTTCCTCCCCCTAGACTGACAATGCTGCTGTCCAAAGTTGCCCCTGTACTCCTTCATTCAGAGTGGGGGCACTCTAATACAGGTTGTTTGTTAATGGCCATAACAGGTGAAAACAGAAGGATAAAAAAAGAAAACTAATGCAGCCACCACATCTAATACCACTGTATCTAAGCTAGTGAAGCATTAATGGTAAAGTTATTTTGGAACAAAGTAGAAGCAGCCTCCCCATTCTTATAATCCTATGGGTGAAGTCAAAGTATTCAGTTAACCGCAAAAACTGTGTCTTGAGCATCTCTCTAAAACCCCATACACGATCTGCTGTATTCCACCACAATTTAGTGTGCAATTCTTTACAAAAAAGTTCCAGCTGGATGTGACAAGGTTTATTTAGAAGAAAGCCCTGTAACAATGGTAAAGCGACTGACATTCTGTTATCAATAAGAGCTAACCTGTTAAGATGATGTTCGGAACACTCCCCCCGCAGGTGGAATACAAGTAGCTTGACCGCAGCTGGTAGGGATCCTGGAGGTTTCCATGGCTCCCTCCTCGTCCCATCATGGCTGCCTGGGAGTACTGGAGATTCATATTCGGATCAGAGAAATTGGTGTTGGGTAGGGAATTGCTCAGACTTTCATACATATCATATGGCTCTTGCTGAAAAGTAAACAAATTATAGCTCAATAGCGAAAAAGGTCAGTAAATTATGTGCTACATAAAAGCTGAATATAAACCCATCTCTTTTTGTAAATTATGAGCAAAACATTTAAATTGCAATTCTGATAAATAGAATTTACATTGTCATTGTTTACATTAAGTAACCACAATACCATGACAAACCGGGTTTTAAAAGGGTACTCATATCCTAAGCATTGCCTGCTTATGAAAGAATTCTAAAGAAATCAGGGCCTGTGTGCCCACAGCTTCACATCAGAATCGTGTAGTTGTGAACAGCAAACACAGAGGGGTTTATTTACTAAAGCTGGAGAGTCCAAAATCAGACTCCCTTCTGCATAGAAACCAATCAGCTTCCAGGTTTCATTGCCAAAGCTTCATTGAACAAGCTGAGGTTAGAAGCTGATTGGTTTCTATGCAGAAGGGAGTCTGATTTTGGACTCTCCAGCTTTAGTAAATAAACCCCAGAATGTCTACCACCGATTCCCATTTATCACAAACCATATAATGGTTTTGGATCATTTTCTGTTAATACGGTTATAAATTGTTAATTTATCTATTTTTTATTATCCATATAAAATGTGTATTTTAAAAATAAAAAGGTTAATACAGGTGTATAGTAGATGCTAGCTTTGTAGAGCACCCTGGGTTTCCTAAAGAGAAAGTCTAGAAGTAGCTCTTTCCTATGTAATGGTCTTTAGATAACCTTACAGTCAAGAGTTGAACAAAGCAGAAAGGGATGGATCACTTCTCAATCACTGAATTTCAGCTATAAACAGGAATGGGTGGAACATGTAACAGATTCTCAAAGGTGAAGGTGTTCTTTAAGGCCTCAAGACTCCCAGACTTCATACATTCATGCTGGCTTATTATGTTACCAGCCTGGAGCTTTGGTGAGTCTATTTAATTCATCTGGTGGTGGAAAAGAACATTTTTGGCAATACATATTAAGAAGACACGTGGAGTTTGATATTATGCCTGTGGTGGACATTCATATTAGTGGTGCACTGAAATGAAAATTCTGGTGCCGAAACCGAAAATTCAAAATGCACTTGGTCGAAAACCAAAATGCACAGTTTTTAAAAATGAATATATATTTTTTGGAAAAAAATACTTTGATTTAAAAAAAAAAAAAAAAAATTATATATATATATATATATATATATATATATATATATATATATATATATATATATATCTCCCAATTTTTTTGTAAAATATGAAAGAGGATGTTACGGCGAGTAAATAGATACCCAACACGTCAAACTTTAAAATTGCATACGCTCGTGGAATGGCGTGAAACTGCGGTACTTAAAAATCTCCATGGGTGATGCTTTAAAAATTTCTACAGATTAGCAGTGTAAAGTTATTGCTCTTGACGTTCCTGGCGATACCTCATGTGTGTGGTTTGAACACCATTTATATATGTGGACATGGTCTATGTATGCGTTCACCGCTACATGCGAGCACGGGGGGGACTGGGGCACTTTAAACTTTTTTTTTTTACATTTATTTAATGTTTTTTTTTTTTTTTTGCACTGTCCCTTTAAAACATTTTTTAATCACTTTTATTCTTAATCACAAGAAATGCATGCATCCCTTGTGATAGAAATAATTAGTGGCAGGTGCTCTTTATGGAGAGATATGGGGTCAATAAGACCCCACATCTCTCTTCTGCAATGTAAAGCATTAGATTAAAAAAAAACAAAAAAAAAAACAAACATTGATCTGGTGCTCTTAAAAAAAAATTGGCCAGAACCAGAAGTGACATCGCTCCGGTCGTCCAAAGGCATAAAGATGAGTGGAGGCCATCTTTCCTTCACTCATCTCTATGCCCAGCGCCAGGATCGCTTGATGGTTTCTCAGGTAAGGCTGAAAACTACAGAGTGGCACCAGCGAGGGGCAGGGTTTTTTTTTCGGCACCTGTATCGGTGTATTTTTTCATTTCGACCGACGGCCGAAAGGGGTGTTTTCGGCCGAAACATTTCAGCCACCGAAATGTTGGTGCATCCCTAATTCATATATATGATTGGTTTGGTAACATAGTTGTCATGAATGCTATATGAATTGGACACTTAATTTATTGCACACTAGCACTTTGTGTATAGGACTTATATATATATATATATATATATATATATATATATATATGAATTGATTGATCACTTAATTGGCACAAAAGCACTTTTTATGCGTATCTTGCACATAACTGTTTGCACAGAGTATTTTGAGTTATAAAAGCCAAGTTTTTGATTACCATTTACACTTTAGTATTTGATGGATGTAGATGTCTGAATAAGTCAGGTTGATGGGGTAAATAGTACTTTTAGTTTGTAGTGTTCAGATGCAGTGTAGTTTTGCTTTAAAGTAAACCCACGTGAACAAGGCTTAACAGTAGGAGTTTATTTGTCATACTATAATCCGTACAAATGCATGCTGATCAGTAGACTAACCTGGTGCCACAGGTACTTTCCTAGTCTATTGGGTTGTTGCTGATCATGGAAGGCATCGGCAAAGAAGCCACTGAAAGAGTTCTATGGAAAGTGAAATACAAAAATCACAAGTATGATTAATAGACTACCATCCCCAGCTCAATGGGCTGGCAATTCTCGACCATTTCATATTCTGATCAAGAAGTGCTCTCGGTGTGTAATACAAAACAATAATGCTTCAATCAGCTTCCATTTACTCATTCATTTAAATGAGAAAATCCAAGCTTTCCCTTGAATTTAAAAGTACCATTAAACACAAAATCCATTTATAATTTTACTGAGAAGGATATCCTGCTATGTTTTCAGCCAAACCAAGCTCAGGAAAGGCTGACAAAGGTTGACAGAAGGCTGGACAGGAAGACAGCAGGGTCCAGCAAAATACACTTTCCCATAAACACAGCTTTCTATCCAATGAGCTCAGTTTTGATCTTTAAGTCTTAATCTTTTTGTTCTAAATCTTTACTGACCAAACAATGTACCTTCTCAACCATGACAGCATGTGAAAAAAATAAGGAAAGGTAAACAAATGAAGACAAAAAGGGAAAGACACACAACTTATAGGCTAAAAGTAGGAACGTGATCAATGGATAGGTAAATGGGAGGAAATAAGAAACTGAATACACCTCGGGTACTATACTCACATTAGCCAAATTGAGATCCAGAGGAGGGCACGGCACAGGTGAGGGAGGCTGTAAATTTTGTGATTCGTGAGGATCGTGTATTTGTAGTGGATGCTGGGACTGGTCTTGGTACAAAGGATAAGGTGGAGGAGGTTCCAGTGGAGGCAAAGAAAGAGGACTCCTGTCCATAGCAACTCCCTAGCAATGTAAAAATAAGAACATTTAACATGAGACTAGCCAGGTTGTTTCTTGCATAAGTACATAGTGGATTGGCTCTATCGCACTATTTTCTCTAAATTGTAGTGAAACTTATTTTTTTCACTTTCTGATAAAGTTGGGATAAAATCCCTGCCAGGATTTTGTTTTGCTGTCCATGTCCTATATGGTATATTTCTATACACTTCCTCTTCTGTGGTCACTACATGAAGTTCTAGGAAACCTTTGCATAAAAAGCTTAAATCCCCTCTTAGACAGCTGTCTCCAGTATATCCCAGTTTAAATATTTCTTCTCACCTCCTGTTCTGGTTATAACCAGGTGGTTTTAGATTTCCAGTTACTTTGTACCTGCATGACAATGTCACCAGGACACCGAGAGGGTGAATCTCCTTAGTGAGGACACCAACAGAAGTTCTAACCATTCCATACAAAAAAGAAAAGAAAAAAAAAAAGGAAAGAAGGGGGGGGGGGGGGGGCTGAAAGACTATAGCTACACCTCTTGTGGGATGCAAACAAATAAAGCTTCAGTCTATGACATCTGGGTGGGGGATCCCTACTGTCCTTATTGATTGCGGCAACTCTTTGGCAGTCAAGGGGCTGAGCGAATTAAATCTCAATGTGGATGGACTAATCTTCTGTTGCGACCATTGAAATCTGACAGCTAGTGCCGCTGGCTGTCAGAATACTCCAATAGTGCCTGCATCTGACTGGACGTAGATTGCTGGATGGAGGTTGTAAGGGCCCTCTAACCCCTCATGTATTGTATTTCATTGTTACTGCACTGTCTCGTGTACTGTCTCCCAGTATAATGTACAGCGCTGAGCAAACTGTTGAGCTATATAAATACTGTATAATAATAATAATGGAGGTGATGTTCGGCCAACAATTCTTTACCCAGCACCATAGACTTTTCAACTGATGGACGATGATGGACGATGGGCAAAGTTAAGTCTTCAGGGGCACCCACTAATTGATGTTTGGCTGGAATGTTAGGAGTGTGTGTGGCCAGCTTAAGTTGGGAAATTTTCCTCACCCAGAGACAAACCATAGCCATAATTTTTGTAATCATGTCCGAAGTCATCAAGAAACATAATATTTAAATACAGTTGGAAAAGCCAAAATTCAATTTAATTCAATCACACATTTTTACTATTAATCAGCACAGCAGCTGCCAACAGCGAGTCAACTCATTACAGCCACAGAAAGTCCATAAGCCTCACACTTTCAGTTAAAACCCTCACAGACCAGAAAACACAATCTTCTGTCAATTTAAACCAACTACACTTATGATTACCTGCTGAAACCTTACCTGAGAGCTTGCCATGCTCATGGGGCTGGTAGGTGAAAACTGGCCACTAACACACCGGATTGGCTCACTGCCTGGTATCAAGGTTAGAGGGCTGACGGGAGTTTGCTTGCGTCTTGGGGAACTGCCAAGCGCAGCCGTAGTAGGTAGAGAAGGGTTGCTAAGGGAGGCCAGGCGAAGAGATGGGTGAAGGGATGCATTGGCTCGACCAGATGGAGGACCATGGTTGTTTATAGAAGAGGCAAGTGAGGTGTTGTTCAGTGTTGCTTGAATGGGTGGATTGCTCCGTGTGTTCTGCAAACCTGTCAAAAAGTATATAAAAAAAGTGTGTGAAACCAATGCAACATTTTCTTTCCTATCAAGGTAACACAGAAAAAGACACTTGCATCCCTTTGGATCATTGGCACGAAGCCAGGATGAAGAAACTCAACACCTGAAAGGAGGATTAGGAATGAAAGCACTGCTGTAGTTGTTAATTCATTAAACTATCCCTTGATCAGAAAAAAGAAAAAAAAAGCGTTCTGAGAGCCCCTGCACCTGTTATAAGCCAATATACGTCTATCTTAGAGTAATCTTACAGATTATTACTGAAGTTTTATGTACCAATGAAATTCAGTAAACCAACCAAGTGATTTATCCTGATCCCTCTGACTTTTCTACAGACAAACCCCTATTCACGGCCATATAATGGCAGCATTATCAGAACTGCTTCGTGGAACTTGAACTTGCATTTTTAAGTCAGAGAGTGGGATGTAGGGTACAAAGACCCCATTGAAAGAAAAAAAAAGATTTCCATGTGCTTTTCTTCTTATTTTTTCTGGCTCACCACTTACCCTAGTTTAGCTCAGCCCTGGTACTTGCCAGTCTATGTTACATGCACTGTATCTTATTAACTTTTCATTTTCAGCTGAGCTGAACAGCACCTGGAGTGAAGAAGTGGCTTTACTCTCTATGGATATGCACCAACATACAGCAAATTATCCAACAGCAATATACCTGTAGAAATCCTGTCTAGGAAGATTACCTAGCATTAGAATTATGCTACATCTGATTTTCAACTTTCAAGTGACTTATACTTGGTGTCGGTACTATTTTGGGGTTTACCGTTTTCATCTTGCCTTCTGATTGGCGGGTTTGTGTCCATGGAGAGATTATTGGTGGGTACCACAGACAACTGACCCCCCAACCCTCTTTGGTTCCTATCTAGCGCTCTCCCACAAGCCAGGTGCATTAGAGAAGTCGGGTGATTTCTAAGTGCATAGAACCCTGCATAAACTTGTGTATTTTCTTTTTCTCTACAAAAATGATATATGATTTCCCTGTGACTCATGGAAGTAATTGTATTTTGACTATTTCACTGTAAATATTTGTTACAGACGGACATTAACCAAGTCCTGATGAAGACATCTGCAAAATGCAATAACTTGGGTGCCTAGACAGGCAGAGTGTCTAAAAACGTGTTATGTATATACTGTACCTATATGTTCTGATGTATAGCGTTGCCCTATACATATACAGTATATCAGAAACCTTGTTTTTATAGAAATTATGCATTTTATTGAATTGTATTTAAAATCTATAAATAAATATGTAAAAAAAAATATATATATATATATATATATATATACACACACACACACACACACACACACACACACACACACAATTAAAGGATGGGTTGCATCACATACAGTGGAAATGAAAAGTCTACACACCCCTGTTATGAAGGACGGGTTTCTGTGATGTAAAAAAAATAACAAAGATAAATAATTTCAGAACCTTTTCCACCTTTAATGAGACCTATAAAAACTGTACAAATCAATTGAAAAATAAACTAAAATCTTTGGGGGGGGGGGGGGGTAATCAAAAAAACTAAAATAATGCGGTTGCATAAGTGTGCACACCCTCTTATAACTGGGGACATAGCTGTGTTCAGAATTAAGCAATCACATTAAAAATCATGTTAAATAGGAGTCAGTACACACCTGCCATCATTTAAAGTGCCTCTGATTAACCCCAAATAAAGTTTAGCTGTTCTAGTAGGTCTTTCCTGACATTTTCTTAGTTGCATCCTACAGCAAAAGTCAAGGTCTGCAGAGAGCTTTTAAAGCATCAGAGGGATCTCACTGTTAAAAGGTATCAGTCAGGAGAAGGGTACAAAAGAATTTCCAAAGCATTAGATATACCATGAAGCACAGGGAAGACAGTCATTCAGCGGAGAAAATATGGCTCAACAGTGACATTGCCAAGAACATCCCTCCAAAATTGATGAAAAGACGAGAAGAAAAACTGATCTGGGAGGCTGCCAAGAGACCTACAGCAACATTAAAGGAGCTGCAGGAATATCTGGCAAGTACTGGCTGTCTGGTACATGAGACAACAATCTCCCGTATTCTTCATATGTCTGAGCAATGGGGTAGAGTGGCAAGATGGAAGCCTTTTACGAAGAAAAACATCCAAGCCCGGCTAAATTTTGCAAAAAACACATCTGAAGTCTCCTAAAAGCATGTGGGAAAATGTGTTATGGTCTGATGAAACCAAGGTTGAACTTTTTGGCCATAATTCCAAAAGATATGTTTGGCACAAAAACAACACTGCACATCACCAAAAGAACACCATACCCACAGTGAAGCATGGTGGTGGCAGCAGCATGCTTTGGGGTTGTTTTTCTTCAGCTGGAACTGGGGTCTTCATTAAGGTACAGGGAATTATTAAACCTTCAGGCTTCTGCTAGAAAGCTGAACATGAAAAGGAACTTCATCTTTCAGCATGACAAAGACCCAAAGCCTACATCCAAATCAACAAAAGGAATGTGTTCACCAGAAGAAGATTAAAGTTTTGGAATGGCCCAGCCAGAGCCCAGACCAGAATCCGATCGTAAATCTGTGGGGTGATCTGAAGAGGGCTGTGCACAGGAGATGCCCTCGCAATCCGACAGATTTGGAGTGCTTTTGCAAGGAAGAGTGCGCAAATTTGCCAAGTCAAGATGTGCCATGCTGATAGACTCATACCCAAAAAAAGACTGAGTGCTGTAATAAAATCAAAAGGTGCTTCAGCAAAGTATTAGTTTAAGGGTGTGCACACTTATGCAACCATATTATTTTAGTTTTTTTTTATTTTTACATCCCTCAACCTAAAAGATTTCAGTTTGTTGTTCAACTAAGTTGTACAGTTTATAGGTCACATTAAGGTGGAAAAAGTTCTGAAATTACTAATTTTTGTGTCATTTTTTACATCACAGAAACCTGACATTTTAACAGGGGTGTGTAGATTTTTTTTTATATCCACTGTACATCATGAGGGAGATGTTGCACAAGTCATGTTCATCAGAAAGGACAATAAAAGGATCATAAAATGGGACAACCGCATATTAGAACCAATGGACAAGAAAAATACCAACTGTCATGTACATCACACAGTAATTTACGCATACAGAGGAATGTTACTGATAAACAGATGTATAAGATCGTGATTTAAATGTTGCAATGTCACCCATATTGTAAAAATGGATAAAGGGACTGAAAAGAAAAATTGATACAATTTTGTATATATTATCTCACTGGGTGTTCCTCATTGCTACATATAAAGTCCCGGTATATCAATCTATTGATATGCTGTTGGATCAAATTTTGGGATGGTATCTTATGAGGATGTTATTTTGGATGTGAAAACCTTGATTCCGCTTCTCTCTGAATGGGTATTGGTGGAACAGTGTGTGGACAGCACAGTGTGTAATTCTTTCTTTCCTAGAAACCATTGCTCCTCAGCCAGCAACTGATGGCCAAACAACAAAAGTCAAAATGTAAATCTTAGAAAGCCAAGCAGAGGAGATCTGCGTTTGTGCCCAGTAGATGTGAGTTTGGATGCAGCACAATGTGAGTCCTTAAGTTTGACAACCCTTTATTCAGAAGATCAGAGAGTAGTAACAGTATCCTTTGTATGAGTTATGGGGGTAAAAAAGCACCGACATTCTAATGCCTGACTGACAGAGTAAATTGATGACTTCCCCTGCAGTATGCACAGAGCTCCACGTTCTTCCTGTATCCTAGCAGTCTGCTGTGTCATTCTAATAAGGTGTGTGTGTCTGTGAAAAAATTGTCAATATAGCCACTACTGAAGTATATCCTCCATTACATTGTTTCATATTGCTTTTCGGAACACAAAACCTGAAACTGATTTTACAAATCTTCATTGCAATTTGTTGAGATCACTGTCTGCTGGAGAACAGTTATGTCATATATATCTTATACTTCCCATTCCATTAATAACACTAAATGTTCTTTCATGTGATGAAGTGCTACATGCACTTAGTACCCTGGGGGATAAGAAAGGACTTTCAATCGATCCTCCCTGCCGCTCTGGCAGGCCTACCAAATTAGACATTATTCACTTGTTGTTCTGGGCCCACCAACCTCTATTCTTCCACCAACTTCTTTTGAAAGTAAATCTATTTCTACTGCTTCTCTTAGGCATGATCTTCTCGTGGCCTACACAGAGTTGGTGGTGCCTCCTGAGGACTATGTTTCCCCTTTCCTCACCAAATGGGAGAAGGATCTTGATTTACACTTGACACATGATGACACCTGAATAAAAAGTTTATCCTCTTATAGGGTCCCTTTGAGGCTACACCATTTGTTCCCTAAAGTCAGCCCCAATTTTAGGGGATGTGGTACAGCCATAGGTTTGATCCTCCATATTTTCTGGTCGTGTTCGCAAATCCAACCTTTTTGGGATGCATGAACCCTGATTCACAACCTTACGGACTCACCTCACCTCCTTATCTAAACAAAAATATCAACATTCATTCTCTGGTGAGACACCAAGATACAAACATGTATCCCAGCACTTTGGAAGTCCCCATCAACTCCTACTGTGGATAACATCGGTAAATGGAATCATGTGTATGTCATCCCTGAGAAGACAGGAAGTTCACCCATGATGGCGAGTCCGCACCTCCATACTGAAGTGTGGATGGGATGTAAACAATGCATGAGCCTGTTCATTGCACCTGCGATGCAATGGTCATGGTTTGCAATGCTCTGCAGGCTTCAATGCAAAAATTTAACAAATGCAACTTTTATTCTAATATTGTGCGTGCATTATTACAATTTTGCAAGAGGTGGACTATACGCCAGGCATGTCAGGAGAAAAATAGTTAAAACTTCTATCGAGTCAGGACAGGACCTTAAAGATAAGGTGTGATATTTCAATTGATCTCTGTGTTATGCCTTCAGCAAACTGAAGAAAAAAAAAAAAAAAATTTGATCCATAAAGAAAAGCAAATGCACAAAAATCAAAATATCCTTAAATAAGCCCAATGAGTTCAAAGCAGATAGCCGCATACTTCTATTTAAGAACTATCTGTACATCACTGACCTGGAGAGTTACTGATGCCCAGGTGAGTCATAGCAGCAGGCAACCCACTCGTGCTGTTTTCCGTGCTGATGCTGCATATGCCGTGTCATCTGGGTCCAGGGGAGTGGGCAAGGGAGAAGGGAAATGGAGATTTGTAAGGTCTGGCAGTGAACCACTGTGTGTTTAGATTGCTCTGGAAATGTGAAAGGCCTGCATTCTGATCTGCAGATGGAAAAACTCTGTAGATGAAAAAAAAGATACGAATTACTCAATTCTATTAGTCATACTAAACAATAGCAATACTAAAAATTGGTCACAGTAGGAAAACTATTTAAACTCTTACAGTTCCATTTCGTGTGAAGAGATTAGGGATGCTTTGAAATCTCTTGCCCCTTATAATTCCCCAGGACCGGACGGTCTTCCTCACAATTATTACAAAGTTTTCCCTGATATCCTGGTTCCCCATATGGTTTAATATTTTATTTTATCTACAGGATGGGGGACTGTTACCCCCCAACGAAAATAAGGCTTTCATTAGTGTCATCCCCAAACCCCTCAAAGATGTTTCTATAGTTTCCAATTACCGGCCCATCCTCATTAATTGTGATCTAAAGATTCTCACTAAAATGTTCGCCTTACGCCTCCATAAATTCCTAGCACTGTATGTTCATGATGATCAGTCAGGATTCATAAGCGGTCGACAAACATCAGACCAAATTTGCCGGACTTTAGCTTGCTGTCAGCCGTACATTCTAATTGGGACAAATCTTCACAGAGGGAAATTTTATTATCGCTGGATATTCATAAAGCGTTTGAACATTCCTATCGTGGGACTATTTCAGATGTTAGATGGTTTGGCCCTTCTTTTACGACCTTGCTACGGGCCCTCTATTCTAATCCTTCGGCTCAAATTTCCATTCGTGGTTATAAGTCAGCCTCCCTGTCGAAAGGGCGTGGTACTAGACAGGGTTGTCCTCTCTCTCCACTATTATTCGCTCTGGCAATGGAACCGCTTGAGATCGCCATTCGCTCTGATCCCACTATTTCGGGCATCCGCTGCGGTCAGTGGGATCATAAATGCGCTCTATTTGCTGATGATGTCCTTATGTACATATCTGCTCCTCGCACTTCTTTGCCCAATCTCCTTCCCGTTTCATTGTTTCGCAGAGGCCTTACTCTTAATTCCTCTAAAACAATTGCCTTAAAATATTTTGTTGTATGACTCGGAGGTTCATTACCTTTGGGACAATTTTGATTTCCAGTGGGCCCCTCGTTCTCTCCCTTATCTGGGGATTCACCTCACAAAATCTTTTTCATCCTTATACAAGACCAAATTTCTTCCGCTCTTCAGGCGACTTAAATCTGATTTACTAGAATGGCAGGATCTCCCACTTTCCTGGTTTGGTAGAATCCACTCTATTAAAATGACTTTTTTTACCGTGCCTATTGTACTACTTTAGGACATTACCGATCATGGTTCCCAAATGGGAACTGATACTATTACAAGCTGCAGTCTCTAGATTTATCTGGAGTGGAAAGCGTCCTAGGGTCAACAGGTCAACTCTCTTTTCCCTAAAGAAGCATGGCGGTTTGGGACTTCCTAATCTCGTAGCTTATTTTCATGCTCCTCAGATAGCACAGTTAACTTGTACTAGAGCCAGGGGTTATGCCCCCCAGTGGGTTGGCATTGAGGCCTTATCCTGCAATCCTTATGCTACTGGTGCTCTTATGTGGCTCCCCAGTCGCTTACGTCCTCCTATTTTGTGTCCTATGCTGTCCTATTCGATGATGGTTTGGGATAGATGGAGGGCTCACAAACCTTTCTTCTCCCCACATACTCCATTAGCTCCAGATTTTTATAATCCTGAGTTTATTCCTGGTGTGTCACCATCAGAATTTCATTGGTGGATGAATAAGGGTTTGCTGCGTATTGGAGACTTCCTGGATGGACTTCGTCCTCGTTCTCTCCAGTATTTTCTGACACAGTACCAGATGCCTCCCAAAGAATTGTTTCGCTATTATCAAATTATCTGATTTATCTCTAGCAAACAAATTAATCGCAGACCCTTGTACACTCACTCCTTTAGAAGTCTCCTGTGGGGCAACTGGGTTGATGAGGGGTCGTTTGTCCATTGTCTATGCTTCCCTGGTCGATCCTCTCACTAAATTATCCTATATGACTCAATGGGAAAGGGACTTGAATAGTTCCTTAGATCTGGAAACTTGGAAGGCTGCGGCCCATTCTCTATCAAAGATATCGATTAATACTGCTCTTATCGAATCCAATTACAAAACGCTACTTTGTTGGTACTTGGTTCCTATGCGCCTCGCTAAAATATGCCCTTCAGTATCACCTACTTGCTTCCGGGCTCTGCAGACAAGAGGGAACTATGTTCCATATCTGGTGGAAATGTCCGGTAGTAAATAGATTTTGGATCAGAATGTTTAATTTTAACTACTCGGTTACGGGAATTAATATTCGTAGAACACCGGAAGTGGCCTTATTTCAACTGCTACCTGCTACCGTTCCCAAAAAATCGACTAAAAACTAATTCATTGCCTCTTACTGGTGGCATGCATTACCATAGCTAGACGGGGTTAAACAAAACCTTAATTGGATAATGGTGAGAAGTTAACTAGCATTGTCAATAATGATGAATCTAGATTTGAGGGGACGTGGGGACCATGGATCAGATATACCTCCATTGCTTAATAACGCCGCAGCTGACTCTCTCATTTTTTCCCTCTTCCCCCCCCCCCCCCCCCCCTTTTTTTTTGTTTTCTCTTTTCCTTTTCTTCTCTCCTCGTCTTATCCTAGATCTTTTCTTTCGATCTCCCTAATCTTAACTTTTTTCATTTGAATTGGGGTTTTTATATTGGTGGTTAATTTCTCTGACACTGCCCTTGTCCAAAGTCTGTTGAAACGTTTGCTACCTGGCGAGCACGCTGTTTTTTTATATATATGATTATATGTTCTACGATTTTGTTTGTGCTCACCATTCTGGCATGTGGCGGAAATGTTATTGTTCCTATGCATACCACTGTAAACCAATTCTCAATAAAAATATTGAAGTATAAACTCTTAAAGTTATCCATATTAAAGTGGAAATCCAGGCTATTACTAACTGGCAGTATATGGTGCAGCTAGCAGTGGTATGAGTTCAGGCTAGCCTTATTCAGCAAGAATACTGATATTAAAGTAGAAGTCCTGGGTTATTACCAGTCCTATTCTAATGCCTAGTACATACGATTAGAAAATCAGATGACAAAAATAGCTTTTGGAGGAATTGTTTGATCATTGATACACAGCTTTCAACAGCTGATCACGACAGTTCATTCAATAATACCGAAGGGACAAGCACAAAAAATGTTTCTCATACAATAACGGCTGCAGTTCTGATGCGGTACAGAATCCGCACAGAAAACGCTGCGAATCCTGCACCGCATCAGTGTGAACCAGGGGTTAAAGAAAAAAAAAAATAAGCACAAGGGATATTACTTATCTTCAATGTGAAGGGTCCCTTTTACCGCTGTGAACTGGTATAGCAGAAATCTTCCTCACCCCTGCTGTTGTAATATTCCGATGCGGAGGGAGTTCATAGAACTAAGGGAGCTGTGACAGGTACCCAACTATGCCAACCTTTTTCTCCGATCTCTTCCATTATTAAAAGCGGTACCAGAGCTTCTATGAATGAAAAAGGGTCTATGAAAGCACAAAGCAAGCCATTCATTTTTTTCTCCCATCCTCAATTCATAGATCATTTTCCATTCACAGAAACTGTAGTGTGGTGTCTATGAATGGAGGACAAGGGTGAAAAAGGTGGGCATAGACACTCTTGAGGAGAACCTGTCAAAAATCCCTTGTTTCTATTAACCCATGCTCTGTCATGTGAGGAATATGGAAGCTATCATTGCTGAACTCTCGTTCTTAAAATGTTCATTATCTGGCTGCCATGCTGATGCCTCAGCTTCAACACTGTCAAAAATACTGACTTACAGCAATTAAAGAAATAAAGAATAACAGCTAACCCATTTTTTGCATACATTACACAGAATTTTCATATCACTATAACAGCATTGACAGCAGTGAGCCTCACACTAAGTGAAGCCAAACTTTCTACAAGAAAAAAGGAGAGACATCAATACATACTTGATTCCAGGAACTTCACAAGAGCGGGGACGAGATGCTAGAGACTGGACCTATACACAGCACACAATGGAAAAGAATTCAGCTTACAGGCAACATCCCACATTTTCAAAATGAATAACACATTATGGGCTTGTTCATACCTGAAGGCGGTGCGGGAGAGCCACGGTCCTGTGCAACTTCCCACACCACATTCTAATCGCAAAACCCTTGCGATATGCTGTGGGGGTCAGTTAAAAGTTAACGACACCCCAAATGCAAATCGCAAATACATTGTTTGCCCGCACTGGCCATAGTAGAAAGTACCATACGATGTGGTTGCCATGTGTTTCAAAAAGTAGTGCATGCACTATTTTTGGTTGGGTGCGATTTCAGCCCATTCAAATGAATGGGCTTAAAATCGCACCACACAGAGCTGCAGATGAATTGCACAGCAATGCACAGTGCGTTCCTATGCGATTCAGCTCGGGGCATAGTGTGAAGCTGCCCTAAAATGGACATATAGTTAAATTTTTCAACTCTGATAACAGACTTGTTCAGATGAATAGCTGAAGACTAATAGAAAATAAATAGTGCTTTACGATCCCTACAGTGCAGGCTGAATGATCAAAACCCTAGGTACCATTTACTACTGAGTCCTGACTGTCCCAGGAAGAATGTCCTGTCTCCTACATCTAAAAAGGTGGCGGGACTTTCTCAGGAGGTCAGCGAAAAGCATGTTATGAACAAAGAAAACTGGTTTATAAGAAACATGAAGGTGCCAACTATATCAAACTGGAACAACCATCCCCAAACATGGATGAAAAACTAACCCTTTTGCCTCCAAAGCTGTAAGTTTTATGCCAAAACAGAAACAATTACAACTGGCCAGCTCAGTAAGGCCACATTCATACTTGCAAATGGAC